TGATTTTAGCAAGAAAATTACGCACATTGTTAGAATAGTGAGAAACAAGTGACCAAGGGGCACGCTGAATATCTCAGAATGAATTAGAGCCACTAAACTATACATCTTACAGGGCTTCTGCAAATCTTTACCTAATAATAAAGCGGCTATCGCTTCTGGTCGTCCGTCATTAAAATTACCCTCTAAGTTGGTAAATATTACCCACCAATGCTACCCGTAAGTGAGAAAACGATTCAATTTTTCGGACCAAAAGTCGCCGCCTCCTTTGTTATTTTACAGAGCCGCGATGAGTAGAAGTCACGAAACGATAAGCAGCAGACTGGTTGGCGGATCTCTCCTCTAGCGACTAGAGCACGGTTTGATCCCCAGCCTCCACAATTTACATCTTTCTTTTCTCACGCATGTATGCGTTCATGGGCCAGCCCATGTGCGGGGCTTCACTGTCCTGTTTGTTTTATTTTATTTTTTTGTATTTTCTTTTCTCATTCTGTGTTCTTTCTTCTTTCAATTAATTCGGGATTTTAATATTCTAAAAGTTGCGATTTTTCAAAAAACAATTTTGAGAAATCATAAAATATATGTGAATTCAAAAAAATTGAAAATCATAAAAATTTTGCAGATTCAAAAAATGTTGGTGATTTTGTAAAACTGTTCGCAAAATTATAAATAAATCACAATTTGGAAAAAATGGTCGGGAAATAAATCATGTTCATATTCGGGAATCTGAAAAAAATGTTCATGACAATTTAGAAAATGTTCACAAATTCCCGAAAAAAAATGTTCACAAAAATAAAAATAAACATTTGTTTTTCAAATTTGTTCCCAATTTAAAAAAAAAATCATCGATTCATAAAATGTTCGTTGGTTCAAAAACTGTTAATGAATTCAAAACCGGTTTGTACATATTTTTTTGTAAAAACACTAATGTTCATGATTTTGAGAAAATCAAAAATTTCAAAAAAAATGTTTGTCGATTCAAAAAGCTGTTCACTGATTCAAAAGTATTTTATGTCTAGGATTTGATTAGTTTTTCGAAAGTCTTTATATGTCTTGGCGTTGGGAGTAGTTCGTGGTCAATGAGATTTGTTTTTAAAGTTTTAAACGTTTCCTTGCGCAACATAATGACAAGTGTGGTATGCACTGGCAAACTCATAGCCTTGGGATTTACCGCATCGAATGCATTGTGATCACGTAGACATCGCGACCATCATCGGCTAGGATGAGAATGGCAACATGGTGAGCCACTCTGTTAAAATAGAGTAAGCTCATATATTAGAATATTGAGTCATACTTGGTTGGTTAGCCATAATTTTTTGTCTCCCGTTGCAACGCACGGGCATATTTGCTAGTGTAGTACCTATAGTTATACGACAGCACATAAAGTATATTCTAAAGCAGGCTGGGATCATCCAAACATGTTTACTTTCCCAAGAATTAAAAACAGAGTTGCATCTGGATCTAGAATAGAAGAATATACCTCTAGGACAGCTCTGCTCAACAAAAAATTCCGAGGGTATTCTAAAGCAGGTTGGGAGCATCCAAACATGTTTACTTTCCCAAGAATTAAAAACAGAGTTACATCTGGATCTAGAATAGAAGAGGAAAACGGACGCTGATAGTAGTGTTACTATCTACAAAGCTAGAATTGTCACAAAAGGTTTTCGACAAGTTTAAGGTGTTGACTAGGATGAGAGCTTCTCACTCGTATCTATACTTAAGTCTGTCCGAATCATGTTAGCAATTGCCGCATTTTATGAAATCTGGCAAATGGATAAACAAAACTACATTTCTTAATGAATTTATTAAAGAAGAGTTGTATATGATGCAACCAGAAGGTTTTGTCGATCCTAAAGGTGTTGACAAAGTGTGCAAGCTCCAGCGATCCATCTATGGACTGGTGCAAGCATCTCAGAGTTGGAATATACGCTTTGATGAGTTGATTAAAGCATATAGTTTTATACAGACTTGCGGTGAAGCCTGTATTTACAAGAAAGTGAGTGGGAGCACTACAACATTTCTGATAAGTATATGTGAATGACATATTGTTGATCGGAAATAATGTAGAATTATTCTACAAAGCATAAAGAAGTGTTTGAAAGGATTTTTTCAAAGAAAGACCTCGGTGAAGCTGCTTACATATTGAGCATCAAGATCTATAGAGATAGATCAAAACGCTTGATAGGTTTTTTCACTGAGTACATACCTTGACAAGATTTTAAAGTAGTTCAAAATGGAACAGTCAAAGAAAGAGTTCTTGCCTGTGTTACAAGGTGTGAAATTGAGTAAGACTCAAAGCCCGACCACGGCAGAAGATAGAAAGAGAATGAAAGTCATTCCCTATGCCTCAGCCATAGGTTCTATAAAGTATGTCATGCTATGTACCAGATCTATTGTATACCCTACACTAATTTTAGCAAGGGAGTACAATAGTGATCTAGGAGTAGATCACTGGACAACGGTCAAAATTATCCTTAATGGAATAAGGATATGTTTCTCGATTATGGTGGTGACAAAAAGGTTCATCGTAAAGGGTTATGTCGATGCAAGTTTTGACAATTCTAGCTTTGTAGATAGTAACACTACTATCAACGTCCGTCTTCCTCTTGAAGATCCATTTAACCTCTAGGACATCTCTGCTCAACAAAAAATTCCGAGGGCGTGATGAATTACACCATGTTTAATTACTTATTGTTGAGATATACTCTCCGTCCTTTGCTTCAGGCCTTTTTGTCTTGTAAATAACATCTTTACTCTTTTTAATTTCCCTTTGACGGGAAAGGCAAGTGCCTCACCAGTCACCAGAACCAAGAAAGGGGCAGTCACCAGCGTCATGGTTGTAGTCAAACTACTCTATCTTCCAGATCTTTTTTTCCTTAGCTATAATCTCCTGTAATATTCAAAGAACAGAGTCAGGTCTCTCTCTGATGAACATGCAACACCCATGATCATTCATCTGAGAAATACACAGGTCACCTACAGTACACATGCCATGGTAAGCTGCATAGCAGAAAGCTGTAATGCTGCACAAGGTCCAATCATAGCACAAATATATGAAGCAAGACAAGACACCGTCTCTAGCTAGCTACTTTAAAACAGAGCAAGTTTACATACAATCTGCAGGTCAGCTGCAAGTAAACCTCACCTACAAACCTAATAATGAATCATGGAGTTGTCATAGATAGAATGGAATGGAAAACAAATTAAAGCAATTTGTCATGGCCAGAAAAGACACAAATAATCTAGTGAGGAAGTGCAGATCAAGATAAACACAACATGTATGTGTGCTCCTACTGCTCCACTTGTCAAAACTTGAAACTATTAACACATACATATTATTGGCCATTGACAAGTAACTAAGCAAGCTGAGGTTTCCTCTTCCTGAGAAGGATGAAATCTGCTTCCAAAGTAACATGCAGAGTGATTTACTTGATAATTACACAAGTCAGTTTTCACACAAGCACTGGATAGGAAGGGGAAGGAAGGAGAGGAGGGCATACCTCGGCTGGGACCTCGTTTAAGACCTGCAGCTTGTCAGGAAGGGGTTGGAGATGCTGCTGTGAGATAGGGGGCAGAGTCAGACTTGAGTTCTCTGCCTTTGGATTCTTTAGAGGGGAGAAAGAATAAAAATGTCCATGAATCAATAAAGGACAGCTAATCCTCAGTTTATAACCCAGAAAACATTGGAGAGCTCTTTTATAACTCAATTGCAATAATGTCATATGGGCAAAAGCAAAGCAATTAACTTTTATTTACTTAGCACTAAAACCCATGTAGGAGAAGGGGTTCCAGCTTATATACTTGGCACTAAAACCCTGTATTTTAATTCGAGAAGCACAAACAAATGTGAAGGTAAACCCCTAGACGGTCAGCGCAAAATTGAGATCTTTTATCGAGCCGTGGACACGCAGAGCATGAGGGAGAGCGAGAGAGAGCAGTGGCTTAGCACCTATGCCTTTGCTTGCCGGGGAGGAAGACGAGACGAATCGTGGCCAGTCAGGGTGGTCTCCATGTTACTATTCAGCAAGCAGGTCACTTTTTTCACCTCAAAAACAAGAAACAAAATTCACTTCACCTCCTGAGAATTTGGTGACTGTAATACCTTGAACTACAAAACCGCGTCGCAAATAAACTACAAAACCATTCAAGGAGGTTTTGCCGCGTGCTGGATGTTCCTGTTTCGGAAAAGAGAGAAAGAGGAACACACATACAGATGTGTGTGGGCATTCAGTTTTGTGGCTGATGGCTGCTTCAGGTACCATTTATGTTTCAACACTTCACAGTTTTCAGTTTATCTTAATAGCTTCAGCAATGGAGGATCAACTTGATACATGGAATAGGGAGTATCTGACTTCCCAGAGTGGATTTGGTAGGTTAGACCAGTTGAAATTTTTTCTGGGATATCGGCTATGAAGACGTCAGTCAGAACTGAGAAATTTGTGTAAGACATTGCTGGAAATACTTGATACCATCAGGTTGTATCCAAATTCTACTGAAACAAAGTCAATTCCCTTTTTGCTTTATATCAAGATGCTCTGAGGTCAAACTGCATGACAAGAAGGGTAAACATCAAATGACATGCTACTAAGAACCTATTTGGTTTCGTAATCTACATCTCAGTAACCATGCAAATTCAGTTAAGATTGGTGGGGGGTTCAAGCATCGCAGACCCCGCAACTTTTGCGGCAAGACCCAAGTTTTAGGATAAGAGTTACGTAAATAGTGGTGGACAGTATTGCACTTTGCAAGTAAAATGGAAAACCCTTCCATTTGACATGCAAGAGGACGAATGCTACCTGCCAGGCCATGTCTCGCGCACTCCGACCACGTTTCATCCTTATGTTGTAAATCTCTTCCCTGAAACAATGCATCGGATGGATATAACTTTTTCTGTCACAGGTAAGGCTAAGTAAATCTCAGAAGCAACGGCATACCTCAGCAACTGGGAACACAGTCTCTCCACCCTTCTTCACATCTGTCAGGTACATAAGAACAGTGGCAACTCAATGACCACCACGCTTCACGTTCTTTTTGTCACTAAAATAATTGAAGTGGGCATCATACTTCTGACCAACTTCATAATGCAGAACCTGCATCGACTCGGCATTTTCTGATACACAAACATGCTAGTCAGATACAGAATGCCTTCTATCTCTGAAACGGCCAACAGAAAAATAAGGTTGCATGTATTACCTTCAGGGAGAAACGTCCAAGCAGCTACACACTTTTCAATTCCAGAGATAATTTCATCCTTGAATAGGTCAAAGGAAATGAAACAAATTAGTGATCGTGAAATATTTCTAGTTGTTTGTTGCATATGCTACGAGGAACAACAGAAACATGTTCTACAAGGGTCATTTCATCGACTGCGCTAGGCAAATATGAATGTGCAATTGCCAAAATGATTAACTCATCAAGATTGATTTTCACAAATGGCAAGAACCATTAGCTACTTTATTTGCTCACATATTTTCAACAGGAGGGCTTGTACCCATTCACAGGTTGTGTTGCCTTCCAGTATAGCTAATATTCACTGCCATTTCATCTCATGAAAGAAGGTGCAAATAACAACTATCCATAGATAGAGTTATTATCTCCTTCGGCTGTACCATAAGCCTGCCTGATCTAGCGAAAATTTCTACATGTGGCAACAAATCCGCAACCCAGGTAGACTTATAACAACACAATTCATCTGACATGAACTAATATGAACCCCAAGGCATGTAAACAATTGAAACAGAAGGAGAGAACAAGGGCGCTTCTTCCGATCACATACCTCGCGCTTGGACAAGAAGGTGCCGGAGCTTGTGCGCACCTGGCTCATGACACTCTTCCCGGACTCATTGTCGGCCACCATCGACTTCTCCAGCCTCCCCTTGGCCTGAACCCCACAACAGTGCAACAAAAGCACAAAAATCACAACTTTATAACACAAGGACCTCCTCATTGCCATGGGCAGCAACTCACCAGCTTGATGAGGTGGTCGCACTCGGCGTGCGAGAGGAAGCCGCTGTACAGGAACGCCCTGCGCGCACAAACAAACGAGCAAACAAACCTGGAACTGTCAAGAAGCAAATCGACAAACAGGTGGCGCGCGCGGCGCGGAGCACGCAGATGGAGGGAAGGAGGTAGGGGGCTGAGCTGACCTGGGGCGCCATGAGATCTGGGTGACCCGCGCCGGGTCGTAGAACCTGGCGCCCCCTCCGGCGGCGGCGTGGGGGAGGGCCGGGGCGAGGGCGAGCGCGAGGGCGGCGAGGAGGAGCAGGAGGAGCGGCGGCATGACGGGGGCGACGGTGGTGGGGTCATGGCTCCTCCATTGTCGAGGTGTTGGAGGAGAGGCCCGTGCTGCAGCTCCTGCCATGGCCGCGGGCTAGGGTTCCGTGCGTGCGGAGGGAGAGAGGGACGGCAGCTCGGTCGCCGTGGGAGCGGCTCGGTGGAGGTCGGACGGGGAGGGAGACGGATCGAATCCGCTAGCTATGTGTTGGGGCGGAAGGAGGAGTGGCGGTGGGAGAGGGCAATGGCCGCGGTGGGTGCGCGTCTCGACGGCGGTGGGAGAGGGGAAGGGGCGCGGCGGCGTACTGGAGTTCCGGGAGAGGAGAGGTCGTCGGCGGCGGCGGCGGGGCTGGAGTTGCGGGAGAGGAGAAGGCTTGTCTCGCCGGATGAGGAGCGAGCGAGTGAGAGGGAGACGGCTGCAGGAGCGAGCGAGGGAGTTGGCGGCTAGGTCTCCGTCAAAGGAGCGGGCCCCTTTTATACCCCACTACGCGAAATGACCGAAATGCCCTGGTGGGGGCATGGTATTTACATTCTGTTGCCATTGGAATTTTATCCGACGGCTCACCGCGATCTGGTAAATATCCGACGCCTCACGTGAGCTGAGCCCGAGATCCGACGGCCGGAATCGCATCAGGAAAACGATCGAACGGTCCAGAATCCAAACAAACGGGAGAGCTTCATTTTGCTTCAGACTCTAACAAGGGGATTGGCTGATGCTGTCCCACTATTTTGGATGGTGAGCCAAAATAATAACTTAATCTGTAGCGGAACCGAGCTAATCATCCCACAAAAATGCATCTTCTATGCGATTGTCACTTTTACACTCCCAAAATGCCCCAAGTCTTGGTGTCTGGAAATCCTTTGTATTGAACTCAACCTTAACCATTTCATGATTCTTGGTCCATAGTTGCTCCATAAGCATGTAGACCCAAGAAAACTAATAAAAACTACAAACTGTGCAATGAAAAGAGTAAAAAAAACAAAAAAAACATGCATAGTGGCCGCCAACAATGAATGTAATTCCATCTTATCTCGTTTTTAGACCCGCGCTAAAATGACGTCATGCATTTTGGTCCAAAGACTGAAGTGGGCGAAGTATTTCGACACAAATTGTGGTAGAACCGAGCTAATCATCCCATCAAATTTCATGTCATATGTGGTGGGGGTGGAGTAAGGGCCATTGGTAGTGATTTTTTTAATCTTATTTCATCTTGGGAACCGTGCACTAAATGATGTCATGTAGCTTGGTCCAAAGATTGAGAATTCTTGGATGTCGCGACGGCAACACCTTATTGGATGCGGATGCGCCTAAGCAATCTCTGTGATGACGAAAATATGGATCTCTTCTATGTTGCTATTGTCATCACCAGCTGGGAGGGGGGCGACTAGCTTTTGGCACTCCTCCTAGCTACAAGGGTGCAAGCACTGGATTGGGCTCCCAGCCACTGCGTCGACCATCACACTCCCTTCATGGACCGGCGGTTATTGGATAGACATGTAATCCCTACCTCCAACAAGAAAAAGCTAAACTACACCTTCTCTTTTGGTCGCTTGGTCCATCTCGAATGAGCGTAATAACAATGTGTTCGAGAATGAGCAAATGTCACTTCAATGCCCGATGAACTACATCAAGGGTGAAGCCTACAACTGGTTCAAGGCCAGTGCGAAGTGCATGGGGTCCTAGTTTATACAAAGATCTTTTATGGTGATGATCCAATTCCCCAAGAGTTGAAGTTATGAATTTTAAAATCACTAAATATAGTCCCTTTAATCATTTGAGTTCTCCCACTAGAAAATTGGAGATCGATAAAGAGGACCTCTTGAGAAAAATTTGTGAAGAATTAGTTTAAGAAAAGTTGGACAAGGATGATAATACGTAATACTATGCATTATGCATAGATAAGCCATTAAACAATAGCGCTTGTTAGAAGACAACTCAATAGCAATTGGGTCTGCATCTCTTATGCGCCTCTCATGTCACGCCAATCTTAGTTGGCATTCATGCTTGGCCTCGCGCCGCATCCATCCGTTCCCCCACCATTCCTCTGCTCCGCAGACAGCAAGCAGCCGGACGCCGCGGCCCAAAGCATCACACGGACGACGTCGCGCCGCCGAGCTTCTCTGCCTAACATGCCTCCGCCGGCCCGCCGTGCTTCACTCTTGAGCATAACATTCCCAGGCAGGCCGGAACGAGCCCAGCCCGCCGCCGCCCCAAGCAGTCTCTCCTCCCGCCCTCATGCCATGAGACATGAGTGCACGCTCGCCGCCGCTCGGAGCGCACGGACGACAGCCCATCTCCTCCCTCTCTTCTGCTCGCGTGCGCGCGTGCTGCTGCTCATTCTGTGTGCGTGCGTTCCCGGGGCCTGATCTTTCGTGCTCGCGTGCGTGTGGGTGCTCTGCGTCCTGTTTGCATGCGTGTTTTGTGTGTGTGTGTGTGTGATGCACTGCTGCTGCTGCTGCGTGTATGCGTTCGTGCTAGGCGTGTGTGCGCTCGGCGTGCTTGTGCTGCTGTGTGCTGCTTCGCTACTCCAGGTGCTTGTGTGGTGTTGGATTTGAAGAGAGTCAAGTGAGCAAAAGGAACAAGAGGTTTAAGTTTTGTTTGCATTGGCATATCCAAGAAAAATATGCCGCCATCTGTTCATGCGGCTGTACAGAGGTGGGTAAGAAACTGGTCTTTGTATGTGTGAGGTATGCCATTTCTCTTTAGCAGTTGTCTCTTTGATACCGCCGTTGTATCATCTTTATCAAATTGCGATTTTGATTTGTTATAGGCTAACACATGGAAAGCCACAAGCGAATTAATTTATATAACTCTTTTCTCTTTGTAGAGAGGAAGCAACCAAGCGGCTGTAATTAATATAAGAAGATAACAAACGAATACTGTGATGTTTTTCTACTCTGAGGGCAATTTTCATAACGGACGAGCAGAAAACGATCATTTTTTAATACTCCTTCTGATGCATAATTCTTGTCATGATTTTAGTTTAAATTTAAACTAAAACAATAATTATGGGCTGGAGGGCGTATTAGTTAAAAGATAACGGAGGAGCATAAGCTACTTGTGAGGTCAACACAATCTTAGCTGACAAAATTGCAGGGAGTATTGTTGGGGTGTAATAGTGTTATGTTGCCGGGAAATAGGACAAAGTTCCAACTATTCTTGGACTGTCAACTGTTAACTGACTAAGATTTAGGTTCCCTATTATTAATACAATGGAAAAACATATAACTATATGCTTTGTCCTCCATTATGATACTGCAAATTTTTAGAGTTCAGTTCTTCAGAATGTAACATTATTAGTTGACTTAACTGCATATTGTCGGTGTAGCAAAATCTTAACTTATCAGGGACATGGGAGTTTCTGCGCTTGGGTGCATCTGCACCGGGATGAACAGTAAAATCAAAATAAAATAGGAAACAAATCCAAAAAAATCTGTTTTTTTTCCTGAAAACGTTGTTGAATGTTTTACCAACTTGCAAACTTTTGTGGTGAAAAAACATTCATGAAGTCTGGGAAAAAATACAGAAATAATATTCCAAAAAGGGCAATTTTGTAAAGAATTTTGGAACATCTATTTTGTTTTCTTGGCCATACCTTCATGAATGTTTTTTCAACATGAAACTTTGCATGTCAGCAAAACATTCAATAAAGTTTGTCACACAAAAATTCAGAAGTTTTTAAAAGAAAATCCTATTTAAAAAATTGTTATACATCTGGGAGCATAACAACACTTTCGACTTTAAAAAATTGTTATACATCTGGGAGCATAACAACACTTTCGACTTTTCAGCCCTATTGTACTCACTAGAGTAAATCTCAGTGTGACTTGATGGGCTGTCAAAGTGCAATTCCTCGCAAGCTATATCTTACAGCTTTCCCCCCTGCAAATTATCTTATTGTTTCATTATTTGGCTTGCAAATTCTTATCAAATGTGGCAAAGAAATGACAATAGAGGTATTTTCTCATAGAACACCGAACGCATCAGCCACTCCCATTATCTCAACAACAAAAGAGTTCACTCACATGGTATACGTGGTAAGCTATACTTGAAAAAAATACAAATAACTTATTAAGAAAATTGTGCCAAAGACCTCCCAAAAAGTACTATCAGAGTATTTCAACCACTCACCGCAAAAAAACAATTCTGCCAAAAATGAAGGCCGTGTAGCCTTGAGAAAAAACATGGCTGCTCAGGTGGGGGCAGCAAAGCGCGCCAACCGCTTGTAGTAACTATCATGCTTAGACCGCCTGTTGTGTGCTTCTCAATTGCGTTACAGTGCCACAGTTTACCTATTTATTTATACACATATATAATTGCTGCTCATTGGTTTAATAACTATCAAAAATACAATACACATGGTACGATTTGGTCTAAATATCATCATAATTCCAATAAATAGTCCCAAAATAGCATTATAAAATTAGTGTTAACTATACCTTTTTTGTGCATATTTTGGACTTCTCCATTTCCAACGTCGAATTCAGAAACTTGAGCATGAACTAGCTAGGTTTATTTTGAATTCAATAGCCTATGATGTAAGGGCACATCCGCGAGTCGGTGGTATGGTAAAGGTTGGGACGGTTTTCTCTCGCTCGCTGGAACTGCTCCAGAAAGAAAGGGCGATTGTTTAGGCGACGGTTCCCCTTGGTGAACTCCGGCGAGGAAATGACTTCCACCCCCTTTGTCCGCTGCTCCAGCGGCTGGAGGAGGGGGTGGGCTACCATTTGTTTTTCTTGTTTCTTCATAGAGGTAGCAGAAGGTCTTTGAGTGGTGGCGCAAGTATGGTGAGGGTTGCGTTGCGTCGAATAAAGTGTCATCGATCTCTCCTTCACCACGACGATGCTCTCCATGGCGACGTCCAGGACACAATGGACTTGTGTGCTTGCCATCTGTTCGGGCCGGTAAGCTTTGTGTCTCTATTCGTGTTTGGTTGTTTTCTTCTATGGTGGCGCCAACAACATGGAGAAAAATGATGATCCTAGAGCAAGATTGAATGTCCAATGGTGGCGGACATGCCGTTCTCCCTCGGTATTGATAGTGGGAAGCGACATATTCGGATCATGTTCTACACAGGGACATTCCCC